GGGGGGGGGGGGGCGGAGACGGGATGCTGCTCGGCACCCTGCAGGGCCCAGGACTGCCCTCCCAGAAAGCAACGTGCTGAGGGGAGAGGCCATGCCGCCCACGCCCCACAGCCGCCCTGGGGACTGCTGGGGGCGGTCGGGGGAGCTCCCACGAGGTGGCGGACCAGTCTTGCCTCTCCCCCGGCGCAGGCATCGTGGGCAGCGACTACATCAACGCCAACTACGTGGACGGCTACCGGCGCCAGAACGCGTACATCGCCACACAGGGGCCTCTGCCCGAGACCTTCGGAGACTTCTGGCGCATGGTGTGGGAGCAGCGGTCGGCCACCATCGTCATGATGACGCGGCTGGAGGAGAAGTCACGGGTGAGCCTGGCCCCGCCACCCTGCGGCCCTCCAGGCCACCCCCGCCCCTCCAGCCCCCGCCTGACGCTCGGGCCTGTCCTCTTGCCCGGTGCAGATCAAGTGTGACCAGTACTGGCCCAACCGAGGCGCCGAGACGTACGGCTTCATCCAGGTCACACTGCTGGACACCATCGAGCTGGCCACGTTCTGCGTCCGGACGTTCTCCCTGCACAAGGTGGGGCCTGGGCTGGCTGGGGCGGCCGGCAGGCACGTGGCAGAGGGAGGCGCGGCCCGGTTTCTGCCCGCTTCTGCCCAGAGAGCTCCCTGCGGGATGAGGAGAAAGTCAAATGAGTCCACCAGGCTGACCACACTCTCAGGGAGCCCCCCTCTTGGGTGGGGAAACTGAGGTCCGGCCGCAGCAGGAGGACAAGCCCACAGGGGACCTGGTGTCCGGTCTCCTTCAGTCGTGCTCCAGCTGGCCTCTGACCTCTGGCCTCCCCCGGCCCCCAGCTTGGACGTGTGATGAGGCCTCAGCAGGCCCCAGCCTCACCCTGAAGGAGTCCCAGGCAGAGCTGGACAGACACCGGCTGCCCCATGAAGTCAGAGGCAGGGTGGCAAGAATCTGCAGCGCTGTATTTAACTGATGGCTGCTGTCCATCATGTGGTTCCATGCGTTCCACGTCGGTGGTTCTGAATGAGGGCGGTTCTGCCATGCAGGGAGCTTTGGTCTTTGTCGTGATGGGGAGCCCCAGCACCCGGGGCATCTCGATTCCAAGCACGCGCTTGGCCCAAGTGCCAGAACACTGGGTAGATGGACGGGAGGGAGTGGGGATTTGTGGCTCGTGGACACGCGTTAAGTGTGGCCTGTGTCGCTCCCCAGTCCAGGCACCAGGACGGACAAAAACGTCCCGCCCGGTGGGGCTTCAGTCTAGGGCAGGAGGCAGCAAGCGAGAAGCGACCAGAACGGTTACGTGTGCACAGGAAGAGTCAGGCAGGGAGGACGGGGCGCGTGTCGGCCGGAGGAAGGCGCCGCGCCGAGGGCCTGCGGGACAGCGTTTCGGGCGGGGCACGGCCTG